TGGCGCATATCCTTGGCAGACATTCACCGTCGTCATCGATAGGGAAAACCCGGAGCTCGTCGAGTGTCCTGGAATGAAGATAATTTTTTTACAAACGTTTAAACATTTTTCGTTATCGAGAAAATATGTACAGGATACATAATGTTTCTAGAAAAGTATTCAATGGTCCAAAGATATCGAAATTCAGAAATATTCTACCAAATCTACTATGGATTATTGCGACTGTAGATTACAAATTAGGAATTATTGGTGGCGAAATAAATGTTACTTATTTGGTCAAATTAGGAATGTTCTGCCGAAGTAAAAAAAGCGAGGTAGAACAAATTTATTTTACGTCCGAATTTTGTACATAAATTATTTGAACTAAATTCGCGTGTTAAGTGGTTCATCTGTTCGAATATTATTGACGCTGTTTCTTTTTTTTAACAGGTTTATTAACTTGTGGTCAAGAAAAATGTCGAAATTTTTTAAGGTTTAATCTATACAATAGGTGTAGTAATCCTTAAGTCCTAAGAAATTAATCAATCATAGTTAATTATTTTTCTCACATTCGATTGTGATTGATCAATTTCTCACAGCAGATCTTAATGGAATACTTAATAAAGTTGTAGGGTAGTATTTCATTGTCGGATCTTTTATATTTAAGACCGGCTGGAGTATAATCTTAAGAGAGAGAGATGTTATAATCACTCGTTGTTAGATATAACAGAGCCGTATTAACCTTAAGCCATTGTCTTGAAATAAGAACCGACTATGTATACTAGCCTTAATTTTACTCATTAATTCTTCCTTTGGAATAACGATTGCTTGTTCGTTGCTTAGCAAGGAAGATTTTACAGAAAAATATATTGCTCTTTTTCTTACCTACATAACAGGAGATGAGGTAATATGCGAAATCGAAATATATACGCAAGCCGTCCGCGACTTCTCTGCATATATTTACTTCGTTTACTGTTTTCTCTATGGTATTATTCACTTTACTCCGTTGAGGTTTCTCTGTTCGTAATATTCTCGGTTCGGAATATTCGTAAACTGCGTCGTAGTAAAATACTATGCCAAAGATTCCGGAATATTAATCATATTTATCAATAATATTTATCAGTAGGTTGCGCCGGAAGTACAAGCTGAAATAAATATCAGTGATATATTTGTATACCTACTATTTGTTTTCAGGGAAAGATTAGTTTTTAATATAAATTACAATTAATGCGAATCAATGAGAATGACACCGGCGGCTTTTCCGCCTCTCTGTATATGAACTGGACGACAAATCTGACAAATAAATTGAAAATAGGTTAAGGAGGTTCTACAGATAATGGATGTATCTAAAAATTGGAAAAAACTTTATGGACGTATAAATTGAGATGCGAAAAAAGTGCTCGAAAAATTTTAGCATCGGTTACCGTGTAAAAATGTGCAAAAATGAATTTTGAAATCACAGTTTTAACATAAGCTACATATGGCAGAGGGGCTCTTGGAGACAGGAAACGAGATATTAATTATATAAAGGCGACCTACCAAAGATTCAAAAAACGGAGCTCTTATAGATCTTAATCTAACCTTTTCAGAAATATCGAGAAAAACAAGGGTTACCGCGTAAAATTTTGTGATATTGGCTACTGAAACAGGCCATATCACAGTTCACGTAGCGTGCTTCGAATAACAAGGGAGATTTGGCAATGTCGCAGCGACTGCACCCGCGCGAAAAGTGTACAGCCAGTACAGCGTACAGCACCACAGTATGACAGCACCTCAAACTTAAGCACCTAACGTTTACGAGCGCTTACGGAGAAGTACTCGCTCTAGAATTATGTGAAATTGTGAAATAACCACGGTCATATGAGCAGAACTGTCAAGTTCGCGACGTTACCACATTTTCTTCCATTATAAGCCGCCAGAGTCAAAGGAGCACTTACACGATATTTTTAATTATTCCTCGCTTCGACTAATATGGGTATGATATAAGCTCTAACGTCATCAAAATTCACGAAAATATTTTATGAATACTTAGAATCGACGAATTTGAAGATTTTCTCTTCATCTCTCAACTGACTAGAGAGTACCTGTAGAACCTCCTTAAGCACGTTTCCCGTGTTGATAAACTACTACGTAATGCGTTCCGAAACCACCACATATTCTACGTCTCACCCCCAC